AGTGAATATCATTGCTCTGGTACTCATTGTACAGGGAATTCCTTAGTCTCAGACCAGGCCATTGGTGTGGTTGTTTGGCACATTATTAGTATATGTATAATATTGTCATATTGTATCATATTCATATTTTTTATTACGTCACACAATTTACACAAACATGCCGAAAATAGCACTGAAGTTTGTTCTTTGAACATCAGAGATATTAATGGTACGCGGTCTTGTTTTAAAAATTGGATGGATTTGTATTAACATTTCCTTTTCTACTAAATTATTAAACGCACAATGGCTTTTTGGCAATCCCGTGAAGCACGTTTCTTTTAATTCGTACTTTTTGGAATATTTTCCATTTTTATGTAATATATTATGTACATTGAACTGCCTTTGTGGTCGAACGATTACCAAGATGGTCTGCACGCAGAGGTCCCGAGTTCGATTCCTGGGCCGGGAGAAATATTTGTATGACCTGTGTTTATTTCTGTCGAGAATTGGGGTGTAATTTGTGATTGTCTATATGTGTGTTCATTGCACCCGTGATACAGGGTTTCCCTAGTACGGGGTTGTGAGTGTGCATAATTTATATATACATAACAATGTTTACATAAATATTTTATTGTACTACAAAACATTTTACATTTTGTTAGTAGCTATGCAAAGGTGAGCTTATCCCATAAAGGGATTCCTTACAACCTTTGAATATCTGACAGGAAAGTTATTTCCCTAGTTGACAATAATAAATAAAATAAAAATGAATGCGACATACTTAATAATTACATAGATAAATTACTTATACCAGATGTACACACAAATACAAATATAAAATCTATAGTAAAATAAACGTATAAAATGAAACTATAAGTAAATATTTCAAACGTAAATTAATATTTTGTTGGTCACTCTCAGACTAGTGTACTACCTAATTCCCGTGACAAATATTGTTATTTAAATATTCAAGTATATTAGCGTGTAATTATTAAATAATATTTCACGATACAATATTCGAATATTTAATAATATTGCACGATAAAAACCTCGAATACTTAATTAATAACAATTGCCACGAAAATTAGGCAGTAAACACTAATCCCAAAATGACCGTTGTTTACTAACATGAGGAGTTTGAACAATCTGAAGACTTAAAAAGAATTTTTATAGGTTTTTCTTGCTAGTAATTCCAGGTCCAATGCTGGAGATAAGCTTCCCCCAAAGATTAC